TTGTCTTTTTTCTTCACCAAATAATTCTTGAGTTGTCAATGCGAGCGGTATGTATCATAAGTTTGACAATGGACTGCGCCACCAACCCAAAGCACCAAGGTCTGTCCCGAAATCGTCGATACCGGTGACATGGTGAACACCCCTCACAAGTGTACATTTACCTTTGCATTGACCAACTCAAACCGTCGGTTCAGGGGGAGGACGTTGGCCCCGGGTTCTAAGCAAAGCAAATTGGAAAACCAAACCAATTCTGTCAAACCCCGTGTTCTTCATCTTTTGGGAACGGCTCGGAGACCCGGAGCGATACGCCTCTCTTCATGCTTGCCACAGCGCAGGGCGCGGGCGATGCGCAGCGCCATGGCACCGGCATTCCGCGTCGGTCGCTCGCGACTCGGAAAATACGGTGGACAAGTTGGGCAGTTGACATTTGCCATGACATCACAAAGTACTGAAGAAGATGTGAAGGGATCAAACTTGTACAAGCCGGCGATGCTGTTCAGAGATTCACGAACATGTGTAAGTGTGTATTGCTCTTGGACCACCTTGGAAGTCTGGGATGCGTACGATCTCACGTCAAATGTACACGAGTCTTGAGACATCCAAGTTGTACCGCTATGTACCGCTATGTACCAGTGCTTGCCGAAAGGCAAAAATCAAGATATTGTTGCTTGGTGACAAATATATTCTGCAGCAAGAGGCTGGTCTGTTTCTGTCTTCGTGTTCTCGCTCATCAACGGCTTCTCACGGGGCAGAAATTGAGGGCAGGTTGGTTGAGACTGATGTGGCTGGAACCTCGGCCGTTCTGACAAAGTACGAACTGACACTGGGTGAACTGAGCAACAACCAAACACAACACACACACACACAAACACACCGACACACGCACACAGGCACACACACAAACACAAACACAAACACAAACACAAACACACAAACACACAAACACACAAACACAAACACAAACACAAACACAAACACAAACACAAACACAAACACACACACACACACACACACACACACCCGGGCAAACACACACGCACACCCCGGCACACACACACACACACGCACGCACGCACGCACGCACGCACGCACGCACGCACGCACGCACGCACGCACGCACGCACGCACGCACCCACGCACCCACGCACCCACGCACCCACGCACTCACGCACCCACGCACGCACGCACCCACCCACCCACGCACGCATGCACGAACGCACGCACCCGCAGACAGACAGACGGACGGACAGACAGACAGACGGACAGCCAGCAAGACAGCCAGCCAGACAGACAGACGGACAGACGGACAGACAGACAGAGACAGACACACGCGCTCTGTCATGGCAAGTCCACACTCAAGCAGGAACCCTCCAGTACAGCCGGGCGCAAAGGTAACCTCAAATGCCTCAAATGTTCATGAACTACCAACAGCAAGCCCTGCAAACTCTATCGCCACAGTGAACATTGAGAATTGCTTCAACTCTGATTGATCATCTTCGGTGTGTGGATGTCCATTTCCCAGAAAGAAGCTGACAACTGCCCTGCCGCGGCTGGAAACATCAATGCAAGTGACTTGAGCATGCTTCAAAACCCTCCGAAAAGGGGGGGTTGCCCTTCCAGAAAACCGCCCAATGACAGTGCAAAAGAAGGCACACATCTGAAACCGAAGGCTCTGAGATCGATGCTCTGAAGCAAATGCTCCAGCTCTTGCCTGGCATTCCCGGATGTCTAGTGACCAGAAGAAAACGGCAACCCCTATTTAGGCTTCCAGGCAGGCTTGAGCCTGAAGCTACCAGTGTGGCGTAAGCAGAAGCATTGGGAGAATGGCTCGGGCAAGCAGCACGTGCCAATGAGCGTGCGTTAAGCAAGCACAATGACAAACAAGACTCTAGCATTCAATGCTTTGCAGCTACCTTGTAAGCCTCGACGGGACTCAATCATGGTCATGGTTGCCTGAAAGGAGCCTGTACTGTGTTTCTAGTGATTCTCCCGGGAGGACACCAAAGGCCCCTCCATCCTCAAGGGAACAGGTTGATGTCCATCCCGCGTTCACCAAAGGAACTGACTGTTCATAGTATTTCCTCTTTGAACATCACCCCACCAAACGGAAGCTCACATTGGGTTGGCCAACACTCATGTTTAAGCCACCTTCGAAATATGAGAGCCCAACAACAACATGTCAAATCATTTCAAGCTAGATCGCCACGGACGGGGCTCCGAACCAGCGAACCAGCGCCTCATCTCGCTAGCCTGTGCCAGCTGCAGTGCCAGCCGGGACTGGGCCCTCTGCTCCGCCTCAGTGGGCTGGACTCCTGGATTCAGATGGATGGGACCTGAAAGGAGCGGGGGCCCCCAGCATTTTTTGCATCTGACTCCCCAAAAACGGTCATGATCCCTTGATGTGGACGCCAAGCCGCTACTGGCAAAAATGCAGCTGCAAGTAGCTAGACACTTAGATTCAGTGCTTGCCGTAATGCTTTGCTGCGAATTAGATCCCATTGGCATTTTCTCCGAGATTGACACCTACTGGCAAGGTATCACTTGACTTGCCATCAGCTGTGTTTATGTAGTCAGGCTTATTTTACGAATCCATTCGTTTTGAGGGCTCTGAATACTTCGGTTGAAGCGATGGCTCGTCCAGTGGCAAGACAAGGGGTTTCGCGATTGGTCTTCTTGGGAAGGGGACTAAATCATACATCAGAACTTCTGAACGGACGGAGATCTCTAGCCTTCTCTAGCCCTGACCATACCGCACAGGCAACATAGACCCTTAATTTTCCAGACATGAACCCTACATCGATTTACAAGGATCCTGCAAAGCTTCGCTGGGTGCCTTCCTATGGACTGAGCGTGACAAATTCACGATGGCCTAGTCACACTGGTATAGTATTGACTCGCAATCGCGGACCGCAGGACACCACAACTGTGCGTGTGGGTGCGCATCAGCTTCATCCAAGCAAAGCCATAAAGGTTGTTCAAAGAGAGAATTAAAGTCCCCAATCTCGAGGGGGCTCAAAGAAAATATCCCCTTTTCAGACAACCAGCGTTCCCTCTACCTGCCGACAGTGGTCTTCCAGTTGGCGGAGTATGCTGGTTGCCGCTATGCTTAGGGGCGCAAAGTAGCTCCAACATCTAGCATTTTCTGGCCAATGTGCTTGGCCGTCTGCGTCCAACAGCCCTTGAACAGCATGAACTGCAAGAAGCACGGTAGCTTTGTAAGAATCCTGCATAGATTTCCTCTCAAAAACTGAATCGCATCCAAGAAAATCAGAACTGGCACCAAGAGCCGTGATCTGTGTGCCGCACATTGAGGGACTCCACCAGGTGATCCTCAGCAGCAAGCACCGTCCATGGCCATGCAGGGAAACGACTATCCAATGAAAACCCGGCAACTCACCTCTGCACCCAGGATCAAACGATCAGCTTAGTTGACAAGGACGCAATGACCTTGGCTCATAAGCGGTGTATGGCTGTGTATGGCTTTATCATTCGTAGTCAAGGTAAATGCATCACCCTTGACACCTACATTCTTCCATCCACTATACGGGGTGGCAGGAAATTGGCTTACATGGCACGCTGCCTGCAATCCAAGTTTCATAGCTAATCTCCCCGAATTGCTCCAAGTCTGGCTCGTCCATGGTATCCATGGCTGTAAAGCTTTCGGTCCAAGTTGCCGCTCTGGCCTTCCAAAGGTTACCCCTCCTTGAGTCCTCGTCTGGATTTCGCATGCGCGATACTACTGAGACGGGCTGCCATGGGACAGGCTGTGTTGCGGAATTTTGCAACTTGCGTTGTAGGCACTCAGAAGAAAGAAGGCACTGGTAAGTCTGGCGGGGGCAGCTGCTTAGAAGCGTCAAATTCAATCAAATTTGCAGTGAAACAAGGCAGTCTAGAGCCAATCGGAAGTCAGTACGGAATTTGAGATCAGCCTCCAGTTCCAAAGTTTAGAAAACACCAGCAGCCAGTCAGCCAAGATCACCAAAGTGAATGACATACCGTATTACAATCTACCACTAGTATCAGTGTAAATCATTTACAACAACTACCAATAACAACTTCCGTGCCTGCTCCCACACATATACCTTGGCACTTTGCGATTTGATTCCTCGATTGGGACACGTGACAGAGTCTGTGCCTTTTTCCTGTGCAGTGATGCCATCATCCTGGCGTTCGTCCCCTGGCAGTTCCCACAATCCAGGGCCAAACATTCCAGCAAGTTGTTGAGGTAATACTGTGATAGCTACGGAATGTTGAGGTGAACGTTTTCTACTGGTCCCGCCACAGAACACAGGACCATGCTCGCTTGCGCAGTCACTGACTGCACCATGATGCTGAAGTGCCAGGGATAGATGCTACCTGTGAAACGCCACGGATGTGGCTATCATTTCTTTCGTCAAACAATTGACAAGGATTCCCAAAGGCTCCATGTACCGAAACGGGAATATAGAAACACACACCCCCTGGTGTTGGTCTGTCCTTTCTCAGAATGGACTAACATGTCACGTCTCTGGTTCTGATTCTGACCTATGGCCAACTGCTAGACCTTCCCTACAGGGAGTCGACACCTCATGGCATGCACTGTGCCCTGAACGCAGCTGCCTTGCGCCAAAATGCAAACTTTCATGCTGGGCGCCGCAAGGCTGTTTCATATTTAAAAGGAGTGTGTCTGCGAGCATGCTCGTGTTTGAGGAGTATGTTGCAAGGCAAGCAGCGACCAGTTCTGTCACAAAGCAGGAATAGGCAACACAGCTCATTCAGCACAGACGAATTAGATACCACGATCTTGGATTTGGCACCGAGCCCACTCTTGTCGACAGCAACCCTCTTGCCGAGCTTGCTACAAAAACGTGCTCTGTTCCACGTGCACCACCAAAGACAAATCTCCAACCAGGCCTTCTGATGGTCCAAATGGCCTTGAGCTTGCAACCAAACCTCTGGGAATTTTCGTCAGCTTGCAGCCAAACGTCTGGGAACCGGAATCTTCCGGCGCTGGCAATGCG